ATACCTAAGACTGCAATATACGAGTACATACAATTTTTTCAATAAATTTGTAAATAAAATCAAAATGTTTAATTAATATACATACATAATTTATTACTTAGATATTGTGAGCCGCGTCGCACAGTGGGGCCTCAGCCAAAAAGAGGTGGCAGAAGACTCTTTCTGAAACCGCGCATTGGATAATTTAATCAGATAATTCTGAGAATTTTCAAAGGATTTCAAAAATGGAAACTTTAAGAAAATCGGGTTTTTAGTTTCGGAGATATGAGCATTCAAAGTTGACCATTGTTTCAGTGAGCTGCATTTGCTATATTTTTATGCACATACTTCATCTTTCAGGTGAAATGAAAATTAAACTATGGCATGTGTACCTTATGGTAACATTGTTTAATAGAAAAAATGTGGTTTGTTGGAAAGACTCTTAAGAAAATTAAATTGTTCAAACTATCTATTTTTTTGGTTCTTCTTCAGTTTTGATATCATATAAAAAAATACTATTCAAAACTGCCCTCGAGTTTTTGTATAACCGTACTCGAAGAGTTAAGGGGTATATTAGATTTGTGGTAAAAGTGGATGTGTGTAACGCAGAGAAGGAAACGTTTCCGACCCCATAAAGTATATATATTCTTGATCAGCATCAATAGCCGAGACTATGTCTGTCTGTCCGTGTGTCCGTCCGTCCATCTGTCCGTTCGTCTTGTTTGTCGCCTAGATCTCAAAGACTATAAGAGCTAGAGAAACTAAATTTTGTTTCCAGACTCATGTGATATCACACTGTTACAAGTCTATTTCAAAATTTTGCCCCGCCCCCTTCCGCCACCAGTATCGTACAGAATGACTATATATTTCAGTAGGCCGAATCTGATTCAGATTGGATCATTATTAGAGCCAGAATGAAGAAATTAATTATCAGTTGCTTACCATCCAGACACTACTTATTTTTTTTCTCGCCCGCACACACTCTGCCCTGTGCATAGCGCGACCTTTGCGGAGAAAGTGTAGAATCTACATTGTGTATTTGGAATCTACATTTAACGAATGCAATAATTCAATCTGAATTTTTTTTTAGAATGATGTATTCAATTTACATGTGCATCTCTTCAAAATAAATTAAATAAGTTAAGATAATAATATCGGGGCAGAATCATATGGAAACGTGTTTTTATTGAAATTTGTTTTTTTTTGGTCTCGGTGGACATTCCATGTTCCATATTTCCATGTAAATTGTTATTTGTATAGCTTTGCATTAAAATATTTTATAATTCAATCATTTAATTTCATTCCTTTCTACCCAAAAATCAAGTGCACAACTTTTTTTTGGAATTACACCGGTATATACCTAATGTACATGTATATGTATGTACATATATGTATGTACAAATGTACATATATGGGTAGTTTATAGCAACAAATTTTAGGCAGCCTTTGTGTTTATTTTTATGAAAATTTATGTACAAACTGAAATGGTAGTAGAGAATTAAATTGTTTAATACCAGATGTGCATGGGGAAGCCTCAAGTCAACATTCTTTATTAAAAAGATAAAAGTTTGTCTTTCTGCTTACACAGCGAACCATAAAAAGGCTGTAAAATCAAAACTTTTGACATAATTCAATTAATTCGAGATAAACAAAGAACAGAGCTTTCAAGCTTGCAAGACAAAATACATATATTGAAGAAAATGGTCAACACAGTATTTATTTACATAATTATAAGAATTGAGATAATTCCGACATGCCAACAAAACGAATAGCACTTAATTAAAGAGAAAAAGAGTACCCAGAGTACCATAAACAAAAAACAGAGCTTTCAAGCTTGCAAGACAAAATACATATATTGAAGAAAATGGTCAACACAGTATTTATTTACATAATTATAAGAATTGAGATAATTCCGCCATGCCAACAAAACGAATAGCACTTAATTAAAGAGAAAAAGAGTACCCAGTGCTTAAGCTACAGAATCCTATGGCGGTACCTTGAGATTGAGATCCCGAAATACTTGTAAACCTTTTAAGTTCGAGTCTCCCAGCGAGTGGTTGGATGAGAATGAATGATGCGCGGTGTTCAAGTAGACGCTGCGTATGACAACCTACTCTGAAGTGCTAAATAGAGAGGTGAGAGAGAGAGCAATAATGATGCGATCGCAACGATATTGTTTAACCCATTAAACCCAGTCAGTATATAAATATGTGAGCTTATGATTTATGTAGAATTTTAAAATATTTTACATTTTAGATTTGTTTGTTACATCTGTTATCTACATATACAATGTATATTCTACATCTAACATGTAGACTATACATGTAGCATTTAGATTCTACATCTCCTCCGCTAGATGGCGCTCGCGGCAGTGTGTGCGAGCGAGAAAGAGAATGATAGCGGTTCTCCTGCTGTAGGAGGCGGGGGAAGCAACTGAAAATTAATTTCTTCATTCTGGATATAAATATGATCCGACCTGATTCAGATTTTTTACGATACTGCGTTTTTATCGTATCTTTAAAATTGTGTCTGCCACAGATTTTCGTTTTTTGTGGTGGTGGAAGGGGGCGATGCGAAATTTTGAAATACACTTTTAGCAGTGTGATTTTTTAAAATTATATTTGATTATAATAAAATTTAAAATTATTATGTGTAGTAAGGTTACCATTAAACTTTCTATATCGATGGAAAAAAAAAACTTTAGAATTTAATGCACCGCAAACAGGCAAACATTCACCGGAATCAAAATTCTTCTTTGACTATTTATTGTTAAGCTTCTAAACGCTGTAGCACCATTTTATCTTGCAGACTAAATTCTTTCAAATGCAGTTATGAATTTAGCAAGCTGAAATGGCCGAGGTCCACACTGTGCGGTGTTAAAAATGTGCCTTATTTAAAAATCATATTTTGGATAGAGTGTTATTCGTATTCTGAAATCGGAAAAACAAGCGAGATATAGAGAGTCTTCGTTATCTACACACGATTTTATTATCTAGTTTGCTCAGATGATAATACTGATCAAGATTATACATTATATTGTTTGTTTTATTAGTTTGAAACATGTGACTTACATATATTGATACATCTTTAAATGCATACAAAATATAAAACAATACTTTGTATATTTTGTATCCTAAAGTAAACTTTACAACTTAAACAGATGCGGTGAAAGCCTTTCCCAGATCAATCTTTAACTGAAACTACACTACTCAGCCAAAACCAGCGAAGTGTTCATTGAATGCAAAGCACTGAAGCAAGGACAACGTCAATGGAAGCAGCTAACAATAACTTTTAATCATTTCAAATAATAAAATCCAAGAAACACTTTGGGACTTATGTACATTTTCTGAGTTTCTTGTTGGGATTAGCTCAATGAATTTTGTGCGGCTTAGGAAAATTCCATCAGCACTAGACATCGCGACTCTGTTCGTCGTCAAACGGCTTTGAATTCAAGAAACTGAGTGTATATGTATGTGTGTACTCACGATACGAGTGTGTTGTACGTTTTGTTAGAAAATCATTGACTGCTCCTTTATTTCCCCCATGTTATACTTCAGTAAATTGTGGCTCTAGAGTTGTGCTGATGTTTGCTACTTCTGTCGCAGTAAAGATAATCTATACTAATGAGGAATTAAAATTGGATTACTGAGTTCTCTAATTAAAGGGACTTATGAAATAAAAAAAGCCTCTTAATGCACCATTCAGTATCTAACAAATTCATGTGTTTCATTAATCCTAACAAAGTAAGAATGATTTCATGTGTGGAGCACAGAAGTAATAAAAAATTCATGTTAGCGAATGAAAACAAAATACAGTAACAGTTTGGGTATACAAATATTTAAAGGCAGAATAAGAAGAGCTGGATACATTTTTCCAATTCAAGTTTATTTAATGATTGTAATTTGATCATATGATGGATTTAGTTCTAACACTTTAAGCATTAAAAAATTAGATAAAAAAGGGTGAAATTCGGGGTCATAGCTTTGCCCCTTTTTTAATAGGACACTTTGACAGATATGTACTTTTAATTTTCATAAATATAAAAATTAGTCACATTTAAAATAGTAATAGTGTATCAGACTTGAAAAAATTAAACTTAAAATTAAACTTATATATTCCTGGCTATAATTAAAGTAGTATGTACATAAAAACATATTTATGTACATATATATATGTATACATATGTATATATATTCTCGATCAGCAAAGATTAAAGCGCTTTTGATTCCATTATGTATATAGGTATGTATGTTCATATGTATATATATTTTTGATCATCATTGTCAATAGCCGAGTCGAAAATGCTATCCATTCGTCTTGTCTGTTGCCCAGTTTTCATGGACCATAAGAGCTACATACATAGATCTACCGGATTTCGTGTCCAAGCTCCAGTGCTGTCACAATGAACTCCTCAGGACTCCTTATTAATAAAAACATCCCATATAAACTTCAACATTTCAATTAATGTTAAATAAATAGCTCAGTAAGATTTGTTTAAAGTCTTACCACTTAATATGGCATACATAGTACATACAAAGCTGCAATAGTGACGACATTATGATTATAGCATAACAAACAGCCTGATTAAATGAAATACATGTAGAAATACATGTTGTTTGTACACTCATATTTTAATTTAATAATTTAATTTAATTTTTATATACACACATAGTAAAATTAAATAGAATTAAATTTGATTCAAATATAAATGTATTAAAAAAGGCTTTTTTAATACGGTAATATATAATCTAAATAAAAAACACTTTAAAATATCTTTAATATATCAAATTTGCTACTAATATGTTTCATATTTATATTGAACTTTATTATGACTTAATTTGAAAATTTGTCTCTTGAAAACAAATGGAAGAACTTTTTATTTTAAATATTCCATATTAAATGAAATTGAATAATTTCGTATCTATTTTAACTATATTTATATATATTTTGTATGTGCCTCAAATTTCCAACTGGTTCAAGCTTCTGCCGCCTTGAATATACATCTCCAAGTCAGTGAAATTATCTTTGCGCAGGGGCATAATCACAACCAATGCAGTTTTACTCAGGTTGCGATTATTTCTAGTTGAAAACTTTAACCAATTAACACCATGAGGACATGAAATGTAGTAGTAAATATGAAACATATAAGATTTAAATATAAAATATATTAAATTTAAATATAAACGAGAAGGAACGTACCCGTACTCAGTCAGTATATATGTATATTTTTGAGCTTATAATTTTTTAGAATTTGCTACATCTGTTATCTACATCTTCTATGTATATTCTACATCTAACAGGTAGATTATACATGTACAATTTAGATTCTACATCTCTTCCGCTAGAGGGCGCTTGCGTACATAACGCGGCAGAGTGCGGTGTGCGAGCGAGAAAGAGAATGAGTAGCGGGTCTCTTGCTGTGGCTATAATTATGATCTGATCTGATTCAGATTTTCAGTTTTATCATATCTTTAAAATTGTGCCTGTCACAGATTTTCGTCCTTTGTGTGGGCGGAAGGGGTTGGGGCGAAATTTTGAAATACACTTGTAGCAGTGTGATATCACATGAGTCTGGAAACCAAATTTGGTTGCCCTAGCTCGTATAGTCTCTGAGATCCAGGCGACGGACGGACGGACAGACAAACATGGCTCTATCGACTCGCCTATTGATGCTGATCAAGAATATATATATAACGCAGAGAAGGAAAAGTTTCCGAACTCATAAACATTGCCTTCTCTGCGTTACACACATCCAATTTTACCACAAATCTAATTTACCCCTTAACTCTTTTTGAGTACGGGTATAAATATAATAAATTTAAACATTTTCATACTAATATCAAAATGTAAGTGAAAAATTTTACAATACAACCACTCTTGGATGAACATCAATGGCATAACTATTCAAATCTAGCGAAAATATTAAAATTTGAGGACCTTTTTCTATGGGTGTAGATTTGATGTACATGTACATATGTACATACTTTTAACTTTAAGTGTATTTATACATGTAAGTAACATTATGGTCTTTTTTTATAAATTTGAAATCTGCCATCAATCATATTTCTTTGCAGAAGTCGTATGGAATGATGGTCAAGCTTATTATTCAATCAAATGCTTTTTTGTTCTAGGAATTCTTTTTTCTTTATTGAAGTTCAGATATCGTATCGTCTGGGTAGCGAGTCAACAAGGCTAATTGTTCTCTAGGGGGACAAAGTAAACAATGAAAATCATTGTAATCGCCACCATTAAAACACTGTCAATCCCTCAACACACCAACCCTCCTGCAAATAGTAAGCTTCTCGCAAAATCAAGCATATACACATATACATATATGTCTGTGCATACAGGCATACATATATTTGTATGTACATGTGTATTTATGTACTCGTGCATATGCGTACATACTCGTATATCTAGTATCCATTCAAGAGTGGCAGCAGAAACGGCAACAACAACAATAATTACATTCGCGATGCCGATGTCGACGAAACAGCAGAGATTATTGTCAGTCATTCAAGTGGGAGGCTGATGCTTTTCAAAAAGACTTTGAACAATAAATGATGTGAAATCTCCCGAAAGAGTGTGTATTGTGATGTCCGCCAGAGTGAGTAACTTCTACGTTGGCTGTCTTGCCTTGCCTAGGTTTAGTCTCTATGTTTCTGCTCTCTTCTCCGGCATTCTTTTTGCCAACAAAACCGCTACCGTTGTCGTGTCTTATGCATGGATGCCTGGCTGCTGTTTGCCGGCAACAACTTCCGTTGTTTTTCGGCATTGGTAAGCCCTACTCTTCTTTTACTTTCGTTGCAATCCCAAACGCAAACAATTTTTTCCGAGATACTCGACTCGTACAAAGTAAATCGGCTTTCGATTGTATTTGAAGTGGGAAGCACACACACAGAGTATGCTACTTGAACTCGTATAACTCATACGTATCTAATGCGCGCGTATTTTAGTGGAGGTACATACATATGTATGTATGTAGTATTTTACGAACGATACGATACCACATACATATCTACATATATGCAGTACCTATATAAGTACCTATACCTACGTACATATATATTATGTATATTTTTTCAGATTGGACGACAGGCGGACTAAACTCAACTCAACATCAGAGTTTATCCAAACGGATAAACATTAAAATTTGTGTACTCCAAGGAAAGAAATATTGGAATAACCTTAAGCTATGAGCCCAGTATGACGAGACGAGTCGATCTAACTGCTGTATGTTTATATATCAATTCGTCTGTCAGTTTTAGAATTATCTCAACAAAATGGTACAAGTATGTATGTATGTACATATGTACATTAGGTCACGCCAAAGTTTGACCTATTATTCTTATTAAATAAAATTACACAATTTTTAGTTTAAAATTTTGAGGTTGCTACCAGGATATGATTGTTAAACGAAATGTTTTTTCAAATATTATTGAAATTTATAATTAGTTTAAAATTAGATAATACGGTATTTTTATTTGTATACCCGTACTCGAAGAGCTAAAAGTGGACGTGTGCAACGCAGAGAAGAAAACATTTCCGAACCCATAAAGTTTATATATTCTTGATCTTCCGTCCGTCCATCTGTCCGTCTCTCCGTCTTGATGAGCGTCTAGTTCTCAGAGACCATAAGAGCTAGAGCCACCAAATTTGGTAAGCTCACATAAGCTCATATACTGACAGAGTACGGGTATAAAAGTAGAGTCGGGGCCACAGAAGCGACTCCCAACGTTCCCTCTCATTTCATTTATTGTTTTATTTAAGTTCAGTTAAGGTTAATATTTTTAGTTAACTTGTTTGCACAAAACATATGCAGGTATTTTGCTGCCAATAACACTACCCGACACGATTTTTCCGCTACGAACCAGACAAATTTTTTTTTATAGATTTGGAGCTTGTGATGAAAATGTGATTTTCTGAGAGTTGTTCAACCAATTTTAGATCAGCCGTCTCTACATAGATTTTAGCAAGCAACACCTTCAACGACGCCAAATTAATGCACCTATACAAAAGAACCCAGGATATTTTTTTTTCGACTTTTCCTGACTTTTTAATGTCAAAATTTCGTAGAAAATACCGCAAAAAAATGATCACTTTTGCATTTGAAAGCTTAATATTTTCCAAACGGTTAGCTGAAATCAGAAAGTGTTTGTGTTTTATTTATAGCTGCATTTCTTAGCTTTTCAAAATGGCACAGTTCATTATGTGAAAAAAAGAAGTTCTAACTCTGAAAAAAGCTTTAAAAAAATACCAGACAAAAAAAAATTCTTCAAAAAATGTTTGTCATAGAATAAAACCATAATTCTTAAAAAAAAATGTAAAGCTCCCAATCTATCAGAAAAAGTTGGTTTGGTTCGAAGCGGAAGAAAAAAGTTCAGTTTTGTTGAGCAGTGTAATTGACCGATAACGATATTAATTGTATCGATATAAATGCAACAGAATTCCTTACATTTTTTAAAAATTTGGTAAAAACACCTAAAAAAAATTCAAGCACAATGTATATTACTATCTATTTACTACAACCATTACGTTGAGCCAAAACAGAGTTTTTTTGAAATTTAAACGGGACACCCCTTAATTTTTTTGTCTCTTATTTTTATTAAAAAAACATTTTTTAGATGTTGCTACGGAATTTAAAAAAGTACAAACTAATTTTTTTTTTTGCTGAATGAATTGGATAATGTGGGGAAATCTATTGCATAAATATTTTTATTTCTATTTATTTCATGCTTTATCCTAACGCTACAAGTATAAACTTATTTTTATTGCGCTAGTCACTCGGTGAATATTTGTACATATATGTATAGTTCATTTTGGATGTGATCTACTTAAATCTAATACTTATACATTGACGTTTTGACAAGATTTATGTACTTAAATCGAATACTTATACATTAAAATGTTGTTTTGTTTTACATTTTTTTTTTTTTTTTTTTTTTTTTGCGGAGAGAATTCGGTGCTTCTTCATTCTCATGGCCTGTTAATGTTTGCTAATTATTTTAAGAATGCAACCGGTTATGGAACCACCTATATCACCAGTCATGTTTTAAATGAGAAATTATAAGGGGCGCTCAATATCTGATGAACAATATATTAAATTTATGTGAACTATGTTATAAAAAATGAATGATATAAATAACCTAACTATTAAATCTAAGAGTAATTGATTAAGAGCCAAAATTATTTAATACGCCTACTGCGTCGTTTGATCCAGCCATAGTTCCAGTGGGAAAGGCAGTGGGTGAAACATAGAGAGGCTCGGCGGGTACGCTAGCTGGTGCTAGTAGCAAAAGCTCCTCCATGCGTTCAATAAATTGAACGCCCTCTCTCTCATTAAAGCGCACGTGCACAAGGCCGCGCCGCGTAATCACTGCGGAGAGAATTCGGTGATTCTTCATTCTTATGGCCTCTTTGAATGTGAGGTAATGCTCTCTTAAAATCTGCTCGTTGACATAAATTGCAGCTTCAGACTCAAAACCTACGAACTGCAAGCTCAGTTGTCTCTTGCTCTAACGCCGGTATGACCCAATTTTCCTGAGAAGATTGATCTTCTCTCGGACGCTTTCTAATTTTATTAATATATCGGGATCCACGTTACAACTTTGTGTTTTACGGGCCCTGAAAACATCCCGGATTCTTGGTGGTGGGGTCAGCTGGAGATTAAAGCAGAGCTTGTTGAAGATCGCTCTTAAATTTTCTCTGTCAACGTAGGGAACACCATGCAATCGCAGTTCACTCGCGAAGGGGCGTCGGAGAGTCACTCACCCGTGGTTCCAGCATTATTCCGTGTTTTTCGGCGACTGCCGAATTACAGTTACAGTGATTAGATGTGTGTGCAGTGATTTTGACAGTGTTTTGTTGTTGTTTTTTTTTTATACTTTGGTTTTGGCTATTATTTGTAATTTTTCCTATTTTGATTGATTTTATGCTGCGGAACTATGTGTAAACACGCAGATAGATATAATGTATATATTTGCAGGTCCAAAAAGACGGAGCGGCTCTTTTTTTTATATATTGATACCACTAATATCGTCATTAATCAGTTGTTGGCAGTAAAAAGCCTGCACAAGTTTATGCGAACTAGTTAACTAAATATATCAACCTCAGCTGGACTTCTTGAATCAATAAGAATCATCTGTGCGTCTGTCTGTCC